CTTGTTTATTTTCCCATTCCCCTCACAACCTCTTATATGTAATTTTGTATAACAATAAGGGTCTCCCTCCATTTCCATGAATTTCCCTTTTCTCTCCCTTTCCCTCCCTCCTCATGTCTCTGTTTAATGTTAATCTTTTTCTCCTGCTCTTCCTCCCTGCTCTGTTCTTAGTTGCTCTCATTATATCAAAGAAGACATTTGGCATTTGTTTTTCAGGGATTGGCTAGCTTCACTTAGCATAATCTGCTCTAGTGCCATCCATTTCCCTGCAAATTCCATGATTTTGTCATTTTTTTAGTGTTTATTTTGATCTCACTAGTTAACTTCTATGCTACGAACCTCTTTTATGAAGCCAGGCGGCTGATCTGTGGATGTATTTCTGTACCTAAATCATGCCCCAGTGCCCCACCTCCTTCAGCCATGCTCCACCTACCTACAATTACATATATTACATATATATATATAAAACTGACAAAGCATTGATATTTAGATTATACCTAGTCATATATTCAAATTATTAATCTAGCAAATGGATCAATCCACTAATTAGGTTCTAGACCTCACATTCATTCATTCATTCATTCATTCATATTTTTACTAAGGCTTTGAGGTATTTCTTCTGTTTGGAAGGCAAAGAACCTATCAACCTTTTTCTCTCACCCCTGGGAACTTCTGCATCTAGAGGGTTTGGAGAGAGAAAGAAAAGAAAGGAGAGGGAACAACTCTTTTTTTTCGGGGGTGGGGTGGGATAATTTTAGATTGCCAAAGATTTGCAAGGGTTGTACAGAGAACATACATAGCCTTTAGTCAATTTCTTCCATTATTAAATTGCCATAGCATATTGGTCAAAGCCAAGACCACAGTGTGCATGCAGCCATGGTGCACATGGGTGCATTACTATTAAGTAAAGTCCAGGCTTCCTCTGAATTGCAGGAGTTTCCCCACTGGAGTCTGTTTTCTATTTGTTATGGTTTGAATATGACGTTTCCTCCAAAAGCTTCTGTGTTAATGCTGGAATAGTCAGAGGTGAAATGATTAGATTTTGAGATCTATAACCTAATCAGCTGAGGAATCCATTTGCTGGATTAATCATTTGAATGGTCTTAACTACCTGGAAACTGTAGGCAGGTGGGGCATGGCTGAAGGAAGTGGGGCACTGGGGATATGCCTTGGTATTTCTTTGACTTGTTTCCCTTTCTCTCTCTGCTTCCTGGCCACCATGAGAAGAGCAGCACTCTCCGCCTGCTGTTCTTCCACCACGATCTTCTGCCTCACCTCGATTAGGTTACAGGTCTCCTAATCTAATCAGCGGAGGAGTTGGATGACCGTGTGCTAAACTCTGAAATTGTGAGCCAAAGTAAACCGTTCCACCTCTCAGTCATTCTTGTCAGGTATTTTGGTCACAGAGATGAAAAGCTGACTAACATAAGGTTCCAGGGTCCCATCCAGGATTCCATATGGCATTGAGTCCACGTCTCTTTATGTCCTCTGGTTTGTCACAGCTTCTCAGTCTTCCTTTGCTTCTCATGATTCTGACAGTTGAGAGGAGGCCAGGCATTCTGCTGGGTGCCTCTCAATTTGAATGGGCTGAGGTTTGCTCATAATAGGCTGGGGCTGTGTGCTGTGAGGTCTTGTCAGCCCATCACTTGGGCCACCTGACATTCACATGGCATCGCTGGGACACTGACCTCCACCACCTGGCCAGAACAGTCTTCCAGCTCTCTCCACCAGGGGGTAATTTCTTTCCCTTTTCCTTTTCTTTCTTATTTGGAGGTAGTCACTAATTCCACTCCACATTCAAAGCTGGGTAGAGATGATTAAATTGTACTTCTGGGATGAGGTAGTAGCAACAGAAATTCTATCCTTCCATAAGAAAAATTCTCCTCCTCCAGTAGCGCCCCTACCTGCTGACAGTTGCCACCTAGTCAGTTCATTCAAATTTTTAATCCAGCAAATGGATTAATCTGCTGATTAGGTGACAGGTCTCATAATCTAATCATTTTACCTCTGAACATTCCTGTATTAACACAGGAGCATTTCTGGTATATTTCATAACCAAACTATAACAGACAGAAAACGGTCTCTATCGGGGATAACTCTTGCAATCCAGAGGAAGCCTGGAGTTTAGTTAATAGTAATGTACCGATGTGCACCAGAGGGCTGTGTGTACCCCATTTAAGCTTGTTATAAATATGTTTACCCTGTCTCCTGGGCAAGCATCATTTCTACTGTGTCTGATTCCCTGCTCTAGTTTCTCCTCCAGAGTCATCTGCCTATGGCCCAGCTCCAATAACATGACTCCAAGTTCACACAGTGTCACTGGATACGGACCCCTGAGGTTGAGGATGTCACCTTGCAGCAGCATGAGATTTACACATGTCTTGTTTGACTTGTGTTAAGTATAAACACTTTTAAAGTTAGTTTCCATATTAATAAATTGAGAGTTGCATATAAAACTCTGAATGTCCAATTTCACTTAAGAAGAGCCCATTTCCCTTCATGGCAACCACTGGCTAGGGCTCAGGAGTGGGAGGTGCCTCCTTGGATGGATTTGGGCCAGAGACGCAGTTCACTCTTGCTTCTGGCATTCCCTGTCATATCCTGATGGCTCTCCCTTTCCTTGTTCATTACTTGGCATTTGTTGGCACAAGTTTTCAACTCTTGGCCCTATCTGTAACCGTAGTCCCTTCACCTTCTGAATGTAGCCCTCATTGCTCTAAGGCACATTTTTTTTAAAAAAACTTTTTTTTTCTCTTTCTTCTCTCCTATCTCCCTCCCTAACAAGACTGGGGAGACAGTGTTATCTTTTCTTCCCCTAGCTAATTGCCCTTGAACACACCCACTACAGGAAGGAGATGCCTGCTGAGGATCTGGAAAGTGAATATCTCCCCAATTAACAAGTGAATCTTAACAGCTATCAGAGTGCCCTTGGTCCCCCCCTACCAGAGCACACCTGGAATGTAACCCTTGAAGTTCCTTTAAAAGGCCCCTGTCCCTCCTGATTGAGATAGTCACAGATTTGGGACAGGAGTTCTCTGTGTTTCTCCTTTGCTAGCAAAGCAATAAACCTCTTTTTCCTTTTTCTCAAAATCGGGTCCTCTTTGTTAAATTGACGTTGATTGGCATTGACATTGATTGACAGAGATTGAGCTTTCAGTTACATATCCTCTCCAAGGGGAAGCTGTGGCCATAGCACGGAGGTGGCAGAGCTCGCAGAACTGTGCTTTCTCCTTGAGCCAATCTTAGGACTTGTCTTCCTAATTGGCACCCACCCTGTGTCTTGTGTGCCCTCCTCTCTCTTTGCTCCCTCTCTGCTTCTCATCATCTACCTGCTCTTCAACTCAGGCCCTGAGCTGTCTCTGGACCTTGCATGTATGTGGCTTTAGCTGGGTCATCATGTGAACCAAATCGGAAGGATCTGTGGGCAGCTCTGTTGCTACTCCCACTCCAGTGATCCCATGCTCCCTTCAATGCTGACGGGTCAGTGTCACTCAAAACTCATATGTTTGGAACTCTCATCTCCAAGGTGAAGGTATTAGGAGATGGGGACTTTTGGGAGGTCATATTTTGGACTTTTGGGAGCACCCATATAAATGAGACCTCAGAGAGCTCTTTTTTCCCTTCCACCTTGTGAGAAGGCATTGTCCATGAACCAGAAAGCGGCCCTCACCATGCAACAAGTGGTTCACCTTGTGAATATAGCCCTCGGGTGCTCTGAGGCTTATTATTATTATTTTTTTTTTGGCAGGGCGGTGAGGGTAGGGAGGGTGGGGGGAAAAGGGGTAGTTACCAAAGATTAAACTCAGGGGCACTCGACCACTAAGCCACATCTCTAGCTCTATTTCTTTTTCTTTTTTTTGTGTGTATTTTATTTAGAGACAGGGTCTCACTCAGTTAGTTGCTTAGCACCCCACTAAATTGCTGAGGCTGGCTTTCAACTTTCCATCCTCCTGCCTCTGCCTGCGGAGCCACTGGGATTACAGGCATGCACCACCTTTCGGGCTCTGAGGCTTATTTTTAAATGGAAAGTTTTCCTTTTCCTCTTCTCCCTATCCCCCTCCCTAACCTGTGGATGGGAAACAAAATTACCTTGAATTATCAGTGTTCCACAGGAAGGAGATGTCTGCCTGGAGATCTAGGAAGTAAATGTCTCCTAAATTAACAAGTCAATCCTCCACACACCAACAGGACTCTCTGGGACCCTCTGTCAGAGCACACCCAGAATGTAGCTTTTGAATAACTTCTTTAAATAGCTTCTGTTTTCCCTAATAGGCAGAATTACAGTCTAAGGGACAGGAGTCTCCGCGTTTCTCCTTTGCTAGCAAAGCAATAAGACTTCTTTTTCCTTTTCCTCAAAAAATCGTGACCTCATTATTAAATTGGCATGAATTGGCATTGGGGACAAGGACAGAGCTTTCGGTTACAACCAGACATCAAATCTGCCTTGATCTTGAACTTTGCAGCCTCCAGAACCACGATAAATTTCTGTTGTTCATAAGCCATTCAGTTTATGGTATTTTTTTTTCAAATTTTTTATTTAGCAGCTGGAGTGGACTAAGACAGCAACCAAACAGTATCTGCTCAATGACCAAGTGTCTATAGTATATTCTCTTCTGTGATTTCTGATGGAGTCTGAAAATTCTCACCAGGTTATACTTTTCAACATTAAACAGTGAAATTTCTATTTAAATAGAAATGCTTAGCTGGATGCCATGGAGCATCCCTTTATTCCCAGTGATTTGGGAGATTGAGGCAGAAGGATCACAAATTCAAGGTCAGCTGGGCAACTTAGTGAGCTTCTATCTCATAATAAAAAATAAAAAAGCCTAAGGATGTAGCTCAGTGGTTGTTGAGTGTCCCTGGGCTAAATCCCCACACCATGAAAAAATATTAAAAGTTGTGTTTTTATAAATATTCAAAACAGTGTAGAAGTACATTGTGTCCCCCCATCCCCCCACTTATTCTCCCCTCTTGGGGTAACCTCTCTGTGATGAGGAACCTTTCAAACTTCCCTGACTCCCCTCTTCAGATAACATAAATAAGATTATATTCTCATTTAGTGTGCCTTTTTTCACTTAGTCATAAATTGTTTACATCTTTCCATATGTGTGCAAGTGTTGGGGTCACTCTTTTTAATGGCACCCTGGTTGCATTGTATGGATACACCTAACTTGTTTAACTAGCTCTGGGATTATGAGATTGAAGTTGTTTCCAGGATTTTCTACTGTAAGGAATGCTTTGAAGTGCATCTTTGTTTTTATTTTTTTATTAATTTTAAAAAATTTATATATGACAGCAGAATGCATTATAATTTATATTACACTAGAGAGCACGATTTTTCATATCTCTGGTTGTATTCAAAATATATTCACACCAATTTGTGTCTTCATACATGTACTTTGGATAATGATGACCATAACATTCCACCATCATTTCTAACCCCATGGCCCCTTCCTTCCCCTCCCACCCCTCTGCCCTATCTAGAGTTTGTCTATTCCCCCATGCTCCCCTTCCCTACCCCACCATCAATCAGCCTCCTTATATCACAGAAAACATTCAGCATTTGTTTTTGGGGGACTGGCTAACTTCATTTAGCATTGTCTCCTCCAACTCCATCCATTTACCTACAAATGCCACAATTTTATTCTCTCTTATTGAGTAATATTCCATTGTGTATAAATGTCACATTTTTTTGTAAACCACTCATCTACTGAAGGGCATCTAGGTTGGCTCCACAATTTACCTACTGTGAATTGTGCTGCTATAAACATTGATGTGGCTGTGTCCCTGTAGTATGTTGTTTTTAAGTCCTTTGGGTATAGACCAAGGAGAGGGATAGCTGGGTCAAATGATGGTTACATTCCTAATTTTCCAAGGAATCTCCATTCTGCTTTCTGTATTGGCTACACCAGTTTGCAGTCCCACCAGCAATATATGAGTGTACCTTTTCCCCCACATCCTCACCAACACTTATTGTTGTTGTTTGTATTCTTAATAGCTGCCATTCTGACTGGAGTGAGATGAAATATTAGAGTGGTTTTGATTTGCATTTCTCTAATTGCTAGAGATGATGAACATTTTTTCATATATTTGTTGATTGATTGTATATCATCTTCTGAGAAGTGTCTGTTCAGGTCCTTGGCCCATTTATTGACTGGGTTTTTTGTATTTTTGGTGTTTATCTTTTTGAGTTCTTTATATATCCTAGAGGTTTGTGCTCTATCTGATGTATAATTGGTAAAAATTTGTGGAGCGCATCTTTGTACATGCAGCTTTGCTGTGAAATTCTTGTTAGGATAGCTGGTGCAAATATCCATGGGAGACACAGCTCTGAGTTCAAGCAAAGGTTTATTGCCAGGCTGCCCTTCTGCAAGTCACAGCAGCCTGCTGAAAAAACTTCTTAACTATATAGTCATGTACAATGGAGTAGTTAAAAAATAACCCATCTGGTCCTGTGATTTTTACTTGACATCTTTGTTGTGGTTTCAGTAGTTAGGGACTCTTTGGGGGCAGGCCTAAGGGGAAGGTCATGCCTGGGTGGGTGGGCAGGTGCTGATTTTCAAAATGGAGTTACTTTGGCCTAAGGACCTAACAATTCTTTCTGCAGAAGAGCACCCTAGTGAACACTTAAAAGTACTCATTGTGCCCTGCTGCAGTGCTAAGTGCTTTAAATGGGTCTTCTTTACTTTTCAGAGCATCTTGAATTTATAGATAACAAACCCAAGGCACAGAATGGTCAAGAAATAGCCCAAGGGCACACATGCAATAAGCAGTTTAAGAAACAATGTGTGCTATGTATTTAAAATTTTAAGAGCTATTACCAAATTCTTTCTAAAAAGACTGAAAAAGTGCTTCTCAGTTGCCAGTGACTGGTAGGGTCTAGTTCTTTACCCTTTTGCCATTGCCAATATTATATCTTTGCTAATATTATGAAAGAAAAATGTTAGGTTGTTTTGCTTGTTTAAATTTGTATTTGTCTATTAATGAGATTGAGTGTTTTTTTTTTTTTTTTTAATAATACTGGGAATTGAATCCACAGGCACATCCTGAGCTACATCCGCAGCCCTTCTTATTTTTATTTTGAGGCAGGGTCTTACTTAGTTGCTGAGAATTGGACTCAACCTTTTGAACCTCCTGCCTCAGGCTCCTCTGTGACTGGGATTACAGTCATATTCCACTGTATCTGGTGTGCTATGGTTTAGATACTGTGTAAGTGTGTCCCCCAGTGGTTCATGTGTGGTCCCTCGTATAGTAATGTTTAAGAGATGGTGGGACATAAGACCCTGGGCCTAGTGGGATGGGGAATAACATTAGCCAACAATAAAATATCTGAAGATATTTTTCTTCCTCACTGGGTCTCAGGACTTTATTTTTAGCCACTCCAGACCCCAGGGACCACTGTTTTGGGTGCTGCTTGAGCAAGGTCCTTAAGTCCTTTGTTTTCACACATAAAAAGTGTCAATAATGACAGAAAAAAGTTCCCGTGGTTATAATGTTACCAGCAGGAGGTCAGGATGGGGTCTGTGTTCCATCGAGTCCAAGAACACTGAGAATAACAAAAAAAAAAAAAAAAAAAAAAGAAAGAAAGGGTTCAGAACACCTGGCACCGTGCCTGGGAGGGTTAAGAGTGCTTCCTGCTAGGGCTGACCATCCTACTTTTATGGGCATAAAAGGGGTCTGGTTTATTTTAAAAATTAATGGTTGGGTTTTGAGTCTAGGAGTCTTGGTGTTATGTGATTCAAGCTTGCTGCTAGGGTTTGCTGATTGGTCTGTGCCTTGGAACTATGAGCTGCTTGAGCAACTTCAGCTTTCTAGAGTTGTCTCTGTGGTTTAGAGCTCATGGCCTTGTGATGCAACTTGTGATAAGGGAGGAGGGGAGCACTTGGGCTCTCTACCTAACTGCCTAGCATTTCCCCTATCTCCACGATGTGGGTGAATCCCACAAACCTCTTCAAGTGCTTAGTTTGTTGCTTGCATACACAAGTGTCAAAGTTTGACTGACCTTAAAATATAGCTTATGGCCACTACCAGATATCAATTTCTGGGGGCTGAAGCTGTCCCTTGCCTCTCCTACTGAGACCAGGGTAAAATGACAGTCAGCATAGGTAATGAATGATTGGACCAGGAAGATAGATGCTGATCAAAAGGAAATAAAACGCTAGTTACCCCCAGAGCACTTTCTCCTCCTCAGCAGTTGCCAAAGTCACCTGCCTCCAGGGAATTGTTTTTCTCATCAAGAAATTGTTAATGAATACCCCCTGGATGGTTCTCTTCCTGTCCTTGGTCACGCCACTTTTTGGTCGTGTAGGCAAGATAAGAGGAGGAAGGGGCATGAGAAGAAAGGAAATCTGAAATCTATAAAAGGGGGAAGACACCTCCCTAGGGTACTAGCTCTGGATCCCCTCCTCTATGGAGGACACACACACTCTCTCTATTCTATCCTTTAAATAAAACTTTTTGCTCATCCCTTGGCATTTCTCGGGTGTTCTATCTTCAGTACCAGGGGAACAGGACCCCATCCTGATTTTCAACACTTGTCTCACTAGGAGTCACTCTCAGAGACTTTTCGGAGCCCTGTGAGGTCACATCCTGCCTCGTGGCCAACCCTATACCCAGAGAAGGTATCCCCAGCTGTGTTGATGTGGTAGGAACATGCACCAAAGTACAAGTTCAGGTCATACCAATGTCCCTGCAGACACTTGGCATGTCATTTGTGCATCTGAGTCTCAGTACTTGATGGAGAACTATGAGCAACACACCAAGGGGATGGGGCTGAGAGGACATCACTGCCAGTCAGTCCCTGCCCCAGTCTGCAGGGGATGCATGAAGTTTGTATTCCTGAAGCACACACATGCTCTCCACTCTTGGGCTGAGATATGCAATGCAGGGCTCTCTTCTCACCTTGGGGAGACCGCTCTATCTTCTTGCTTTGGACTGGCAGGGTGAGGAGCAGATGACTCCTCTGCATCAATGGTGACAACCTGAGGTCACAGAAGGGGTTAAATGGGGATGGGGAGAAAGAGTGGAGATTGGAAGGTCCCTGCAGAGGGTGAGCTCTGCTTTCTGACAAGTTCTCACCTCCAGAGCCTGAGGCTCAGGGAAGAAGTGATGCTTGTACCTAACAGAACTGGGCTGGAGATCAGGCTCTGGGTCTGGCCAACAACTGCATCAGCTGGTGGAGGCCAGAGTGCATACAAAGCTTTGGTGATCTTTGGGTGGCCTTGGGATGAGAACAAGTCAACCCAGTCATGACAGACTTTCCCTGCTCACTTTGGACTTTCTAGCTGATTTTTTGTTGTCCTGGGTCCTGGTAGGATGAGCTGAGGAATAGGTTGATTTAAGATACTTATTTTCCTTGCAGTGGCCTCCACTTAGCAACATTAACCCTCACAATATTTTTCAGAGACAGGAAAAGCAGAAGTCATACAGTGAACTCAGGCTAGGAACTGAGACTCAGATGTGTAAGGGGCATACCAAGCATGTGAAAGGGTATGGAAGTGATCTGAACTCTACCCCTGATGTGTTTTCCTACCACATCATACTAGCTGTGGTGCCTTCCCAGTGTATAGGGTTGATGACTAGGCAAGATGTGACCTCACAGCGCTCCACTATGTCTCTGAGAAAGACTCCTTTGTTCCTTTTTGGGGTTCCCATCTCATGGAGAGTCAGCATTGGTTTGGACCACCAAAATCAAGAACTGACCATGTGGCTGGGACACAAGATCCAGCCTTGGGAATGTGTCACAAAGACCCACATAATTTCCCCAGGAAATAAACTGGGTCACAGAAACCTTGTTGGAATGGAGATTGTGCCTTAATGCTAACCTAGGAAGGGCCACTCAGAACCAGGTGGGGAGAGAGTTCTGATTAATCTTGAACTCTCTGGCGAGGTGAAGTAGAACTTCCGGGAGGAATGGAATTGAGGCTGAAATGGAATTGAGTTTGCCAACCATTGAGACCTCATGACACCAATGAAGGGAGACCAAACAGCTTGAACCAGGGCACAAATTCTTACGTGTATTCACCGGAGGAGCCAGGGTAGCATATAAGGAATTTATGGCGTATCATGATAGAACCCTCCAAGTTTCAGAAATTAGAAATTAGGTTTGATGGACACAATCCTGGCTTCTCATTTCTTCATGGGTCTGTGGGCGTTTTCCCTCCTTTAGGATCATTATTTTATTCACTTTCTGAAAATGTGACAGATGCAAGTATTGGTTTATAAATTCATGAAAAATCACACTAAACTGGAAATAGTTTATATTGTGGAAAAGTACACACCCATCTAATAACAGTGATTACTGGAAGCATTTGGGGTTGGAACTGGGTTGCATGTTAGTCTTTTCCTTTATCTATAGCATCTGCATTTTGGTTTCAGTGAAGATACATTGATCTGTGACTCATGGAATTAATGATTTAACATTTACAAAATTTAAAAAGTAGTCCATGATTTTTCAAACTAAATTTGGGCAATAGAGAAGTGCAAAAAGTAAAAGAATGTAAAACCTTTCCCTAGAATTTCCCCCAGAACCAGTTCTCCAGAGGGACTTATTTTCATTTTATTGACTAGATTTAAGCCATATTTTTCTAGGTTATTCATTTACATTCTTATAATTCTTATTTTCTTCCTTACTTCATTCAGTTGTTCCCAATTTCTAAGTTGGATGCTTAGTTATACCCCTAAAGTTAAGTGGTACTTGCTTTTAATTGTTCCTTGCCTGTACACTGGGTGACTTGCTAGATGGCATTTTGTTATTGTTCAGTTCCAAGTGGCTTATCATATCCATCGATGATATCTTCTTTGACTTATTCATTATTTTATTTTTCCATGAACAATTTAGAAGATATTTTAACATTTTCAAACATATGGGGTTGTTTTGGTTTTCAATTCATATAGGCGATCAATATGCATATTCTGAAAGTACAAAAATAACTTCTCAAGGTAAAAGAGAAGGACTGACAATCCAATGAAGAAATGGACAACAGTTTTGAATCAACAGTTTGGAAAAGATAAAAGGTAGGAAATATGTAGACAGTTGACTTTGTAAGTAATTGGGGGGAGAGAGAGAGAGAGAGAGAGAGAGAGAGAGAGAGAGAGAGAGAGAGAGAATATGAATGCAAACAGGTGGGGGACAAGGTAAACCCTTCCAGAGCACATCCCCAGTGACTTATTTCCTCCAGCCATGCCTCCCTACCTGCAGTTTCCCTCCCAGTAGTCCACTCTACCATCAGTGGATTAACTCACTGCAGAGATTAGAGCCCTCAGGATCCAATAGATTCTCCAAAACTCAGTTCTGAACATTGCTGCACTGGTGACCAGATCTGAACACGTGAGACTTTGGGGGCATTTCAAATTCAAACCATGAAGCTGGTTCATTGTGTTGGCTCATTTTTTTCCCCTGCTTGACTTATAGGTTGTTATAATTAAAGCTTCATCCCGGGTTTCATAAACTGACTTCCAGACCACTCAAGTATAATCGAATCAAGCCTTTATTGAAGCGCACCGGTGGCGGCTGACCAGAACATAAAGCTGTTCCCCTGATCAGCCCCAAACAATTGCAAGGGTGAAAACCACAAAAGTGATGTTCGGGGGGTGTCTAGCCAATGCAAGCAAGCCAGGTTACAGAAGCGGGAGAGTGCAGTCAAGCGGAGGGAAGCCTAACCAATCACAGTTAGCCCAGTCACCCCAGTTACAGAAACAGAGCCCCGTTACCCTAGTTACAGAAACAATGCCCTGTTAGGTAGTTTCGTGTTCTCAGAGATTTCTATAGCAAAAGGAAAAGAACATTTTGCCCTGGTCACGACCCTTCTGCTTGGCATGGTTGTTTTACAGGATGAAGTCATAAAACAAAATGGAGTCACATTTGCTTCTGATATCACAGGTTATGGAGAGAGAGGTTGAATCTTGCATTGTGTTGGTGGTGGATTTGTCTACTCCTTTTGGTCTTTCAGGGTTTGCTCTGGATCTATGTTATTTCATGCTACAGGTTTAGACCTGGTGGATTTTCCATTTGGATGGCACTTTCTATCATTCTGGAATATTCATCATCTGTGTTTCTGCTAGAAGCATAATACCTCTGGCATTAGTCATACCCCGAGTGTTTATTCTGTTAGCTTCTTCCTGTAATTTTTCTTATCATTTTAGTTTCAATTCTCCTGTTACCTTATATTCTAGAAGTTTGCTTTTTATTTCATCCCTTTTGTTTTGTGGCACTGTGGATTGAATCCAGGGGCACTCTACCACTGAGCTCTATCACCAGCCCTTTTAAAAATCTTTTGTTTTGAGACAGGGTCTTACTAAGTTGCTGAGGATGGCCTCGAACTTGTGATCCTCCTACCTTAGCCTGCTGAGTCACTGGGAGTGCAGATATGGTACCAGTGTGCTTGGCCCTTACATTTTATTCTTGCATTAAGTATTTGATTAGTTTTATTCACTAAACATTCACTGATGACATTATGCAGATGCATGTTTATCAGACTGGAGAAGATAAGCATGTAGCACCCTTGCCTGCTGAGGGCCTGTGCTGTGTCTGCCCTCTCTAAGGACATCATCTCGTAGCAACTTATCAACTTGAAGTATTTTTTTTAGTTTATTTATTTTTCTTTTTTATTTATGTATGACAGCAGAATGCATTACAATTCTTGTTACACATATAAAGCACAGTTTTTCATATCTCTGCTTGTATACAAAGTATATTCACACCAATTGTGTCTTCATATCTGTACTTTGGATACTACTGATCCTCACATTCCACCATCATTAATAACCCCATGCCCCCTCCCTTCCCCTCCCACCCCTCTGCCTTATCTAGTCAACTTGAAGTTTGTGTAAGGACCAAGCACAGTTCATCCCCAGCCCAACACAGTTCTTGACTCTCAGGAGACAATGACAGCTGTGCCTCGTTTCATCTGGCAAGTCTCAAAGTATGGTTGTCAATCAGCATCACCAGCGCCAGATGGATACTGGCTTTTCAACTTTATCTGTGGGGATTCTTTGTGCCTTGCTGGATTAGTCAGCTTTCCATCACTGTAACAAAATACCTGAGATAATCAATTTTAAAAGATGAACAGTTTATTTTGGCTCACAGTTTTAAAGATTGCAGTCCATGATGACTTGACCTGGTTGTTTTAAAACAGGCCTGAAAACAGAGATCGCGGCAAGGCACACAGTGAAGCAAAGTTGCTCAGCCCATGGCAATGCAAAGTGAAAGAAAGAGAGATGGGAAGGGGCTGGGGAACTCATATCCCCTCAGGGACACACACCCCATAACCTAACTTCCTCCCACTGTGCTACACCTCTGAAAACTTTCACCACCTCCCAATAGTGTCACCCGCTGGTAACCAGACCTTTAACACAGGAGTCTGAGGCCGGAGGGCGCTCATCCAAATATGGCACTTATGTTTCAAGTAACTTCAGGAAGGAGGTACATTTGCTCCTGTCAGGGGCCTGAAGACTGTGAATCTAGGTCTACTTCAACTTCAATCTTCAGATTTTAGTTGTCTGCCCCAGAGGCAGGGAGCCTTCCAGATCCTAACCATGGTGGGTGTCTTCTCAGGGGAGAGTCCTTTCTTTTTCAAACTCTAAGGTTTCTCTCTAGTCTTGGAACTGCCTCAGTCCTACCTGCAGGAGGGCAGAGCCTCTGATCTTGTTCTCCACCCTGTTCTGCTCTTAGGGAAGCTCTCTGCCTCCCCACGGTTGACTGTGGATGGCCTTCTGCCTCAACCAGTTCTCACAATCCACCTCCTATCCACGAGGGTCAGGCAACGTCTTTTCTCCTTCTCACCTATCTTGGACATACTGTAAGTCCAGGCTTCCTGGCCTCACGACTCAATTGCCCTGTGACTTTGGGTTACTTTTTAAGAACTTCTCTGAACCTCAGTTTCCTCATCTGCAAAATGGCCACATATCAGTACCTTTATGGCAGTTTGTTTTTTTTTTTGTCCCTTTCCTCTTCTCTTTTCTATCCATTTTCCCTCAGAGCAACTGTTAAAGCAAGGCCATCAGGAATCTGAACTGTGTATTAAATAAGACGAAGGCTTAACTAACAATAGCTTAGTGGTTTCTTTGAAAATATTTCACCTTTTGATCCGTTCTGCTGTCGTCTTATTGTCACTGGTTTTTCAAGAGGGCCGACAACAAGACAAAAGACCTTAACAGAAAAATATCTCTAGGTCGCTGGCACAATAAAGCTGCAATGAGAATTCAAGTATCTCTTGCCTTTGAGTCATTATGAGAGACAGATAAGTAAACAGCAGCACAAAATGACAGCCCCCACACATGGCCCTTTGAAGGTAATCTGAATGTCAGCGTTTAAACACAGCTAGCATGTCTTGGAATCACTGGAATCTTCCCAAGACTGGGGTGTCATGTCCTTTGAAAGTTCCTCAAAAGATAAAACTCCACTGATTGCCCATATATTTTGACTCCTGTATGTGTAATGAATGCCTCCGCTTCTATTGCCAGATGCTCTGCAAGGGGATGAGGTTTTAATCAGCAGTCCATAAAATTCCCTCCCATTTTTCAGTGTAATGGACCTGAATGCTGTTATTGCTACTTGCTCATTATTTGGCGTGGCTTAGGAGATCACTGGTTGCTTGGCAGTCACAGGCTAAGAAAAGTTCAGGGACTTTTGTTTGTTCCTCCTCTTCTGGATGTTTGTCTCCTCTCTCCCATTTTCTTTCAAGGTATTTTTTTCCCCCTCCAAGAGATAGATGTGTCTATGCATCCATCCATCCTGAGGACTCCCTACAGGAACCTGTCTGTGGCACATGTACCCATCCAGAAAAGCCCCGTCTCCTGGCGGCTGGTGCCACAGCTTTCAGCATTAGCTTACCAGGCCTTCAGAAGTCCACAGAGGGTACCCTCCGGGAAGGGGATTTAGCAAGTAAGGAAAAAAAAGAGGGAGAGAGGCTAGTCAAGGCTCTGGTAACTAACCTGGGGCCTCCTGAAGACCTGGGAAACAGGGGCTGCAGGTACGACAGGTGTGGTGTGAGGGCAGAGGGTAGGTAAGGGGTCTCGGTTCAGAGTGAACCATAAGTTAGGTGATTGGGCATTCTGCCCCAGGTTAGCAGGCAATCAAGGACTTTGGGGAGGGATCTTCTGGAGTTCAGGAGGCCTACAAGTGGATAGCAACTCACGCTGTTGGTATTTAGAGGGCAGATTTGGGAAGGGAGGTGCAAATATAGAAGAAACTATGTACCGAGGCTTCAACAGCACCAGAGAGTCCTGGGAAGCCTCTCCAGGGCTGTCCCTGATTATTGTCTTTAATCTCTGATTTCTTTAGCATCATGAGCTCAAGCATCTTTTCTCCCAAAGGCTGAACTCTCCTCCTTCACGCGTTCCGTCTAAAATCATAACAATTTTAGAACAACAAACAGGAAATCCCTTCAGTCACTTAAATAGAAACAATCATTTGAGACAATTGAGTAGATAAGTTGGCAGGAGGATGATTTCCCCCATTTTTATGTAGTTGGTTGTTGGGGTTTGGATATGATTAGACATAGTCCCCTAAAATCCCCTGTGCTGGAAATTTTGATGCTGATTCCTACTGTGGCAATGCTGAGGGGCAGTGAAACCTTTAGGAGGTGGGACCTAGTAGAAGATGATTAGGGTGTTGGGGGTACCACCTTGAGCAGTAGTTTTCTTGGGAACTCAGGTAGTGGCTTTGAGAATGGGTTCTTATTGTTATAAAAAGTGTGAGTTTGGCCCCTGAATTTCTTTGACTTATATATATATATGCATATATATTTATTATTATTAGTATTTTTAATGTGCATTCTTCTGCACAGCATTTTTATGTGCAGTGATCCTCACCAGAATCACCTGAAATTGGGCTTTCAGCCTCCAAAAACAGTGACTTAAATAAACTTCTTTATAAAATGCCCAGCTTCAGTATTTTGTTACAGAAAAGAAAAACAGCACAACACTGGTTTTTGCCTTATTAAATTCAGAGTAACATGTCTGAAAACCCTAGGGGCAGGAAAGGCTTTTAAAGACCTGCTGGTCTGCTCTCCTTTTCACACTTGGAAAAACTGAGGTCCAGAGATGGAACATGATTTACCCAAGGCCTCATGCCATATTTGAGGAGCATGGTGGTCAGACTACTTAGCTGACTAATTTCTCTGTGCCCTCACAGCTGACAGGTCTATTTTTCAGGGTCGATGCCCACTTTGGTATCTGTGGCACTAAGAAATATAAAGGAGTTCCTACCTGGACAGAGCACTCATGGAAGAGCCATCCACTGGATCTGAAATCCTGCCCTGAGAGATCCGTTACTGGAGTGTTCCCTAACCAGAGAGAACTCCTGCCTTGCTACCCTCTACAGACACATTTCTGTGGAAAGGTTTTGAGCATTACGTGGCTCGTGTTTGCTCCAATACTCTGGAGGCAGGGCAGAGAGAGGGCTGTGGGTGCTTAGAAGTGGAAGGACTCTTGGTGGAAGAAGGGAACCCTGAACAAGCAGGGACCTGTAAGCAGGGAGAGCCTTGTTCTTTCCAGCTGGGTGGTCCACCAGCACGTGGCCCTGGACATTCTCCACACTTCTCCATGATTTCAGGAGATAATTTGTCTGCTCTAGTCACCTGTGGCTCTCAAGGTCTTTGGGAAGAGAGGGCTTTGGAGAGAAGGCTCACTCACTGATCTACAGGGAATGAAGAGATCAGGGACGACTACTGGGGACAGAATAGGTGTGGAGTGGGTCTAGGAGAGTAGAGTCAGCAAGAGTCCATCTGGTCCAGACACGGAACCTTTCCTGCAGTCTTTCACAGCCGTGGATGGTACACTTGTTGGCTGTTGGCTAGGGGCTGGTTTCTAGGGGTTATGAATGTCTCCGTTACATGCACCATCTCCCTCCCCACTGGCAATCCTGGCAAATCTTTCATGAGAGATGGTCCCTGCTATAATTTGAACCTGATATGGTCCCCTATTCCCCCAGGTGTTAAGGTCTTGGTCTTCAGCTTGGCATTATTGGGAGGAGGTGGATCTTTTAAGATGTGGGGCCTAGTAGAAGGTGTTGTTAGGGCCCTGCCCTTGAAGGAGATAGTTGCACTCTGGCTCTTTCTCTCTCTTCTTTTTTGCTCTTGGCCAAAAGATAAGCAAATTTTCTCAGCACAAGGCATCTGCTATAACTTGCTGCCTTGTCACAGGCCCAAAGCAATGGGAGCAATCAGTCATAGAGAGAAACCTTGAAAACTGTGAGCCCAAATAACCTTTTTCTCTCTATAAGTAGATTAATCTCATGTATTTGTTACAGTAACAAAAAGTTGACAAACACAAACTCAGAACAAAAAACTCCAAAACAATTTGCTATTTGGGTCATGATCACCTGTGTCTCCAGCTCTGTGAGACACACGAAGATGACCTGGGATCTTTAAAAATTTGGGCTTTTCATTGGGTAAACAAAATAGTTTACTCTACCCAAGGGCCCTGGGACTACCCGCTGACTTGATTGAGATACAGTGTCAATGCTGATGTGAAGGAGAGAAAATGGGATGAATGCTGGGACTACACTGGAGGGTGATCGCAAGGTTGTTGACCCAGTGAATGTGGGTGACAGATGCAGAGGGTGGGTGTGGGGGCAGAATAAATCTGTTTGTAGAGTTCTTGGATAAGTGGGAATAGACTCTGCAGGGGAAAGGGAATGGTTGAAGAAAAAGGGAATGTCTGGTCTCAGACACAGAGTACCAGGTTTTGACTGAATTTTCAGGGGCTGTTATTCAACATTAGAAGTGGAGAGGGTGGCCATTAGTTGAGTGTGGGGTAAGAGCCCTTTCTAAAGTAAATGAGGGCAATACCTGGGGCCTTGTTGGGAGGGAAGGATGACACCTACTCTAGGCTGCAGTGAACAGGTGTCCTGAGTGGGGGCAGTCATGCAGTCAATGGGGGCCTTTTCTGTAAAGAATTTTACGGCAATCATAAAACTGCCTGCAATCTGTCTGCTTTTATTACAACCAGGGAATGACAGTATTAAACAATGTCAGTGATAAAATATTGCTTCCTGAAAACACTCTTTTTTTGTCAAAGTTCTAAATAATTGGTCTGATTATTGTTGAGCATGTATATATGCACACACACATATATATAATTATATATATGTATAAAATAACATGTTACACATGTATATATTTTATGTAACATGTTATATGTATATCTAGATATTATACATATGTTTGAAGTTAGCAGACATGCATTACTTAGCCTTTCATAAACAGTGTGTTCTACATAGCAGTTAATTGGAAAACTTATTTCCAGGAGTAGCCCCTGACATACTTATATTTTGCTTTTTTAGAAAGTTAAAAGGTTTTTCATTTTTTTTCTTCCTTCTTCCTTGCTCTTTCCTTCCTTCCTTTCTTCTTCATCCTCCTCCTCCCCCCAGCCTCTTCCTCCTCCTTATCCTTCTTCTTCTTTTGCACAGTTGGGGTTGAACCCAAGGCCTTGCCCATGCTAGGCCATTACTGGGCTACACCCTATGCTTTTCTTTTGAGAGTTAGCTTACAAACTCTCAGAATCCTTCAAGCTTGCTTCTTATTGTATCTTTGCAGTTCATGTCTTCAAACCCCCTGGTTTAAACAGTTTAAACAGTTGGTTCTGAATAAAACATGATCACAAAGTGTTTTTAAAGAGAGTGAATAGAACTTGAATTCTGGCATTTTGTGATAGCTTAGAGATTTAATGTATGTTTAAAATGTAAACTAGTGAGACAGACAATGATTTTTGAGGTTCTCTTTTTTTTTGGTAAGAAAATGTAGTTCTTATCCAGGCATGGTGGCACACACCTATAACCCATCCTAGCAACTTGGGAGGCTGAGGCCGATGGTTTACAAGTTTAAGAACAGCCCTGTCTTAACATTTAGGTCCAGTCTTAAAAAAAATAAAAAGATATGTAGGTTAATGGTAGAGTGCACCCCTGGGTTCAATCCCCAGTACTATTAAAAAAAAATAACTTTAGTTCTTTTATGAAATTTTATTTCCTATATGAAATAGTTTGCCGAGTTTAAACAATATCCTTGTAAAAGAAATTTCTACATCTGTCAAAACTGTTCATCTTTTTAAATCTAAAAATATGAATCAAGAAAATAGTGAATAATATTAATGATTATATGATTGCTCACTTTAAAAGTCTAAAATCACCATTTTTAGGTGACCAGAGTGATGATTTCTCCTGGATAAATACTTATGAGTCTGCTTGGGGGGTTGTATGGTAAATATATGTTTAACTTTTTTATTCAGGATACATTTTTATTGTGTAACAGATACAAAACATAAAATTTACTATTTGTGTGTATGATTCATAAATGTTCAATTTGGTAGCATTGAGTACATTTGCAATTTTGTGCAGCTGCCATCTCTGTCTCTTTTCAAGGACTTTTTCATCATTCCAAAGAAATTCTGAACTCATTACACCACCACTCACTATCCCTTTTATCAGTCCCTATAACTGCAATTTTTTAAAAATTGTGTTTTTATTTTCAATTAACACATAGTAATTGTATATATTTATGGGGCACTGTGATATTTCAATACATAAACACATTGAGTAATGATCAGATGTGGTAATTGACATATCTATCACATCAGACATTTACCATTTCCTTAGATTAGAAACATTAAAAATCCTCTCCACCAGTTATTTTGAAATATTCAATTAATGATTGCCCACCATGTTTATCCTACTTAGCTATAGGACATTAGAAATCATTCCTTCTTCTCACTCTTCTCCTGTACCCACTGAGCATCCTGTCTCCATCGTCCCCCTTTCCCAGGCTCTAGAAACCACTGTTCTATTCTCTGTCTTTGAAATTGACTTTAGTTTCCATATATAAGTAAGAACATATGATCTTTGTCTTTAAGTGCCTGACATTTCATTTAACATAATGTCCTCAGCAGATCCTGGGCTGGCCACTGGAGTTTGCTGCTGAGAACCCCTTGGAGAGCTGTGAGAGAGACCTTGATGGAGATTTCGACACACAGAGAGCTGCTTCATGTGATGCTGCTTGACATGAAATGTGTAGAAAATTAGGATTTCTGTGGACCACAAAGGAGGTCTTCTCCTGAAACTTTTCACAGAATAAACTCTTTTTGCTCCCAGGTTCTTGTGTTCATATCTAAGACACCAACCTGAGACAATGGACAGTAAATTAATAGTTCATCTAGCAAAAACTTCACGTTAGAGTGCTATATGGGAGTGGCTTATTTTGATCTCCCTCAGTGCCATGAAGAAGGGAAAACCCACCTTGCTAACCACAATCTCTCAGTGTCTGTATATAGCAACTAATTATAGTCTTAAAAACAAATTAATAAATACTCTATTTGGGGAAAAAATCCAAATAAATTCCAGCAAACAGAACACATGTGAAAATCAAGCTTGATCTATGAACAGCCAACAGGCAACCTCATTGTTTAGTTTAGGGGATGTAAAAGGAAAGAGACCTTTTTAGGTTGCAAATGCATTTGATTTGAACTTGCAGTTCTCTTCAAGCAGTTTCTACTTTCTCTGAGCTCCCTGCTTAAGAAAGCCTGGAGCGCATTAGGGCATTCATCATGTCAGCAAATGGATCAGCTGCAGGTTCAGTTGGCCAGAGCAATAGAACAATGTGGTGATATCTAGGTTTTCCATTCCTGTTGACTATTCCAAATGAACTCTGGTCTACTGGCTTGCTGGTCTACCGTTGGCTTGGGTTGGGCAAATAATCTGGCTCTACCCACACTGCAAATCCATCCATCTTCTATAGGAGAGCTACCATGGCCCTGGCTGAACAGAAATGTGGATTCCTTATCTACCACTGGACCTCAGGGCTGGCCTGAAAATAGCCGCGTTTTAGATTTTTAAACCAATGTGCTCTCATAGCAAAGCCCTAAGCCAGACTCTATTTATAATCAAATAATCCAAGTATCGCTAAAGAGAAAAATTCATTAAGTGGCTCTTGATAGCACAGATAATTGCCATAAGAAAGCAGAAGCTGAGACAAGATGGGCAGGGAAAGTGCTGGAAGAAGCAGAGGAATTGAGGTTGCCTGCCGGGAGCTCATAGGCATATTTGTTCTGCACATGTGTGCTGTGTTGCTGGATTTTAAAAATAAAGATATTTATTTTTTGTCAATAGAATATTTACTAATTTATTTCTGAGACTTCAGTTAGTTTCTATATACAGACACTAAGAGATTCTAGTTAGCAGGGTGGAGTTCTGCTTCTGCTCTGTATTGAAGGAGATCAAAATAGGCTACCCTCAAATAACACTTGAAAACTTTGAGATGGCAATTCAGGGGAACTGCAGACACAGGAATATCTCTAACAGGCTGTCCTTTTGTGGAGAGGATTTACATCGGTAGTAGAAGTAAGCCATGAATGCAAATGGGTTTTCCAGGAAGAAGAGATGAAGGCCGGGACAGGGATTACCACAGGTGGCCTTCTCATGACTGCCACTTCACTTGTATAATAAGAAGACCTTCATTCAGTGAATTTTCCTCTCCTTCCCTCCCATGCCCTGTGACCTCCTCCCTTCAGAGGTCTCAGTTTTCCTTTTTATATGGTTTCAACTCTGTAGCCTTCTTTGGAGTTTCATACTGTATATGTGTGGCTCCATGTTTAGGCATGTCCACCAGGAATACATTCAACCTGGCCAAGATCACATTTATTTGGGGGTAATTAGGGTTGCAAGCTAGAACACATCAATTCCAGGAGACTTCTGAGTAGTTTAGGGGAAGGGGCTTATTGTACCAATGGTCAACAGGGCTTAGCAAACAATATTTCAGGAAACTATGGTTCAGCCCATTTCAAAGGTCAGCTTACATTCAAGAGCAGATGTGTGGGTGGTCCAGTTTAAAAGTTCAGCTTAGATGTGGATACGTCTAAAACCTGATGCAACAATGGCCTCTGGGTTCATCTAAAGTGCTTGAGTTAAAGTGACTTCATTTTGATTTCCTTCCTTAACAGGTAGGTAATAAAATTTCCCCTTTGTCTTTCATCAGTTTGTTTCATAAACTAAAATTATTGAAACTTCAGAGAGAAAAGAGAATATTTTAAACTTCCCCTTAGTATTACCCGACTCTAAATAGGACACATTGTTTACAGAGTACATTCCTGGTGTCTGTGGACCATGGGGTCTGGGACCCTGAGGAGGGACCTGTGGGTCCCTTCAAGAATGGGTAGAGATGCCTGGAGACACTTAGGTCAGCATCTTGTAATCTTGGGTGGGGGAAGAGCTTTCAAAGCAAGTTGCAAAAGGGCGAAGCTAAAAGAAAAAGAGATTTGACTCCATAAGTATTTAAATATCGGCAATGTCAAAACATCTTAAACAGAATTGAAAGGCAAATGGCAAAACAGGAGAAACATTTGCAACAAGCGGCAGATGGTTAGATACACCATCCTCATAACTCTTAATTTGCTTCAGGGAGTCCTGGTTTATGCCTGGTGTCCTGCGTAATTATTGGTTGCAACACTTTTCCTCTCAGAAGAGCCCTGATTTGGTAGATAAATTACATGGTTATCCTAAAAAATGTTTAATGAAGGGATTCTGGCTGTGGAAATATACAGGGAAGCATTCCTCTAGTGAGCGAACTCCTGGGGGTAACTGGCACTCTGTTTCCTACCCTTAGAATGCACTGCTGCTTCTCCTAGGAACTAGTAAGATAACTAATACATGTGCTATGTCTAGCTGCTGTGTGGCAATGCCACTAAAGTCCTATCAGCCTCCACTTTGATCTCAGGCACACAGCTCCTGGGAATAAGGGAACTCTCTTGTTAGACAACCACAGTGTTTCACAGCCTAAATCTGTCCACATAACAGTAATTTTATACAATGGACTTTCTTGAGAGCTACATAAAGCTCCTAACATTGCACATTGCTGTTAGGGTCTGTAAACAAGTCGGGATGGCGCCTGGCATTTTGCCAGAGGGAGTGGTTTGTGAAGTAACTCCAGCGAGCCATTAAGTGTGGAGATTCCTTATTGGTTGACTGCTGTATCTAGTTTATGTTAATTAAGATAAGCTGTGTGGAATGTATATATACCCCTCCTGTCCTACAATAAACGGCTCCTACTCCTGCTGTATCAATGTACACAAGTTGCTCGTCACCCCCTAGTTATTTTGCTGCAGCTGGACTGCGGCACATTGCAACTTAGTATGTAATTGAGGAATAAGCTGCATTTTGTTGCTAAATCTATAACCAGCCTAGTAATACAATGAACAATATGTACTAATGATGTCAATGACCTAAAGTAACCTATTGATATAAATAAAGCTTATCAGCTTGGCCTCTGCCATTCTGCCACTTCTTTTCCTACCTCTGCATCTTGTCTCTGTGTCCCATTTTTATTATTTTCCTTACAGGTTAATATTTGTATTATCTAAAGAGTGCTCACATATTAAAAAGAAAATCGATAAACCCCAGAGAGAAGAAGACAAGAAAAACAAAACAAAACAAAACAAAAAACAACGTAAGGTATAGGTTAAAACAAAGGGTTGGTACATATTAAAAATATTTACTATTAACAAAAAATGGAGGTAACAATAAGAGTGTTTTTTGTTGAACAACTGGAAAACTTTGCAGACAAATATGAACATATATTCCTGGGGCTAGCCAGATGTGGGGAATGGGCACTTCTTGCCCTCTTGGTTTGCAAAGTAACTTGAATAATTCGCTTCTGAAAGGCAGTTTTGAAACTTGTATTGCAACAGGGATCAACCTCATGCTTCAAACACATCACAGTTAATGAAGTAATTCAGACTTCAGGGACAGCACCAGAAGAACTAGGAAAGGGCTGTCTCCCAAATCAACAAGTGAATTATTACCCCAGACAGGGTACACCTGGAATGTAACCTTTGCATTACCTCTTTAAAAGCCCTCTGATCTTAGAATCACAGCTTCTAGGACAGGAGTTCCTATGTTTCTCCTTTGTTAGCAAAGCAATAAAACTTTTTTTTCCCTTTTTCTCAAAACAGTGTCCTCATTATTGGATTGGCATCAAGAACAAGGACCAAGCCTTCAGTAACAGGATGAAAAGGTTTTCTGTTGCTAGCGTTAGCTGGAAAGCACCTGAGTTTTCAGGGGAAGAAGCTGCTTCCTCTTAAAATGATGGATAACTTTCCTTTTAGTTTTAATTAATTAATTTATTTATATTTCAGATAAAGCCTTTCAGAGAAAACCCAAGGAATCAGCTTAACCCAAATTACCATGTCACTTTTCTAGAGGACACAGAAAAAATTTGCTCATTAGAATCTCATTTTAATGCTAAACTATTCACTAGCGGGGGGCATTCCCACCCACCATTTTTGAACATGTGATATATGAAAAACACCATCTCAAACTGAACACGGTCAGGAATGTGCCCCCTCTACATGTGATTGTCATGGAAGAAAAAGGGTCCTAGAAGAAAGGTCTGAGTGATATATGAGCTGTAGAAACATCAGGTATTTCTCTATACTTAATTTATTTATTGGGGTTTTAATTAACAGTATACAGATTTCCCAGAAATCTGAGAGTAGCAGGCTTGGAAGGGAGACAGGTTTAGGGAGGGACAGGTCTTGAAAGTATGCAGAACTTATGCATTAAAATCTTTTTTTTTTTTTTTCCCCTGGCAGACATCGCTGCTGTGCCGAGGTCTCTTCTCTGGCACAGCTTGGGCTACCTGGATTACCTTGTACACGAATTCCTACCCTACCTCCGTGGTCGCTGTCGCTGAAACAGAAGTCTCCTGCCAATCAACCTCCCTTGCATCGCTATTGCCATTGCTGGGGCCTCTGATTCCGTTGCCTGAGGTGGTCTTGAGGTCTTCTTTCTGGATGCTGCTGCCACAGAAGAAACCGCTTCCCTGGATGCAGCTGAAACCAACACTGCTACTGACCTCCCAGAGATGGCCTGGTGACGCTGCCCCCACAGCTGCAGCTGCTGCTACCGTTGACTCACTGCCTGCAGCCAACAATCACCTCCACTACCCCTGTTACCACGGCCTAGAGAACTGCTTCTCGGGAGACTCCAGGTTTGGTGGCACATGGCTGCACCCATTTTGAGACACCAGCCAGGGCCTGAGTGTGGGGATGCCTGTGGGTTTGGAGGAGCCTGGGCTCTTTCTGCTGAGAGTGCTGGTGGC